AAGCAGCAGCCTCGAATTCAGGCGCCTCAAATCTCCCAATGCAAACCTCAACTTCACAATCCCCAACCTCATCCTCCACGTCAGCAAACTCTCCCTCATCATATACCCTTACGAGTCAAATTACCGCCGCAGCATCCTCAACAGTCCCATCCTAACGCCCAGAAAAGAAGTGCAGCACAAGTACCTTCCAATCTAGACCCACCTCGTGCACAAAGACGGATCCCGCCCTCAGCTAATATTCCTAATCCACCACAAGAACCTATCCTGAACCCAATTCACAATCAACATCCATCTGATATAACCTCCATTCTTTCATCCTTCCTATTGGACCTCCAAAATACCATAAAACCACTTATCACTCTTCTCACCAGAATCCTGACCGAAATTCCATTCAATTTCCCACGATGAGCACAAAGCCCCTAACTATCCTTTTATGGAATGCTAACGGACTAAATAACCACCGTGACGAACTTGACTTATTTCTTCATAATAATAACATTGACATTGCTTTACTGACTGAAACTCACTTCACTAAACGAATACATTTCTACATACGTGACTACTTCACTTATAGAACTGATCACCCAGATAACACCTCCCATGCCGGTTCTTGCATCCTTATACATAAATCATTACCCCATTCTCTTATTCCTTCAACTCCAACTGATGCCATTCAATCAACTTCTGTAGTCCTTTCAACTCGCCCTTTCCATCTCACATTCTCAGCTGTATACTGTCCTCCTGGTAATTCCCTCTCCTATAACCTCCTTGATACCTTATTCCAATCCCCCTTTTAATAGTTATTCAATCCTCTCGCCATGAGTCCTACTTATTGGCCAACATCCCTCAAAAAACGTCTTGATATCCTGGATATATTTATCACCTCCCAAATTTCCTTCTCCCAAACCATAATCAAATCCCTGGATAACTTTTTTCAGACCATAGTCCAGTTCTGCTTTCACTACATTCAAGCTATGCTCCTAAACCATCAACTCCTAAATTGATTACAGGACGAGTAAACTGGGACGAATTTCGTGATGATTTGGAAAACAAACTAGACTTAAAAATTCCGCTAAAGACAAAAGACGACATTAATGGTGCCATTGAAAAACTGACAGCGTCAATAACAGACAGTATAAATAATAATACTTTTATCAATAAGTTTAACAATTCACAAAAGACTGACTTGCCACAGCATATTCGTATCTTATTGAAGGAAAAACGCAGAGCAAGATCTAAGTGGCATAGAACCAGATATCCAACAGATAAAACTCATTATACCCAACTGACTAACAAACTAAAATCTGAAATTAAAAAATACAAAATTCAAAATTTACTAAATTTTACTGAAAAACTTACACCTACCGACAAATCACTATGGACGACCACTAAAAGGCTCCTGAAATTTAAAGACTGTAATCATCCGTTTCTTACTGAAGCTCAAACCTAGTCCAAATCCGATGAAGAAAAATCACAAATCTTTGCTCGTCACCTCTTTAAAACCTTTAATCCACACCCCGATATTCTTAACCCAAATCACCTTGAATGTATTGAAGCAGAACTGGATATCCCACTCCAAATGTCTCTTCCACCTAAAGCCTTTCAACCTTCAGAAATATCCGACATCATTCAAAGGTTACCTTCCCGAAAAGCTCCTGGACACGACCTAATTACATCCCAGATCCTAAAACTCCTTCCTCGGAAAGCCATTCTATTCCTTACTTATATATATAATGCTGTACTGCGATCAACATACTTTCCTGACCCTTAGAAATTATCTATTATCAAAATGATACATAAACCCAAAAAGCCACCAGAAAACCCATCCTCTTATCGCCCTATCTCCCTTTTACCCATCCAAGGCAAAATCCTGGAAAAGCTCATCCTAAAACGCCTGTACCCCATCCTAGATTCTAATCACATTATCCCAGATCATCAATTTGGATTCCGCAGATCCCATTCCACTATCCAGCAATGCCATCGTGTGGTGGATGTTGTCTCCTCTGCATTGGAGCGCGGAATGTACTGCACGGGAGTCTTTCTCGATGTAGAACAGGCTTTTGATCGAGTCTGGCACCCAGGACTGCTTTACAAACTCCGTAAATTCCTACACCCTACATACTTCCTCATTATCCGTTCCTATCTTACTGATAGATCCTTCAAAGTAAATCATAATAATGCCTATTCATCCCTTTTTTCCCAGTCCGCTGGTGTTCCTCAAGGTAGTATCCTAGGTCCTATCCTTTACACAGTTTATACAGCTGATATCCCAACCCATCCTAACACAGTCATTACCACTTACGCCGATGATACATGTGTCCTATCAGTTAATAACGACCCAACAATTGCATCCCAAACCCTTCAATCACACATCACAAACCTTGAAGAATGGTGTCAAAACTGGAGAATAAAAATAAATTCCAATAAATCCCATCAAATCACCTTTACCCTTCGTCGTAAACCTATGTCCTCTTGTCCTACAGTATCCTTTAATAATACCCCACTTATTCCTGTTGAACAAATTCGATACCTTGGACTCCACTTAGACAAACGCCTAACTTGGAATCCTCATACCAGACTGAAACGACAAGAAACAGCTCGACGTTTCCGACTACTCCAGCACTTACTAGATAAACGCTCTAACCTCCCAGTCAATTACAAAAGACTCATATACATGACTACAATAAGACCTATTTGGACTTACGGAGTTGAGCTCTGGGGCTCCACTAAGCCATCGAATTCCTCTCGTATCCAATCCTTACAATCCAAAATCCTTCGTAAAATCATCACTGCTCCTTACTTTGTCACAAACAAAATCATCCATAACGACCTTAATGTTCCTTATGTTTCTGACTTGGCCCAATCCAGATACCTATCCTTCCATAACAAACTTCAGAACCATCCAAACCCTCTCGTTTCTAACCTTGCTTCCTCTTCGATCCCTGACAACCCTCAGAGGCGTCTGAAAAGAAGATGGCCTCGAGATCTCCTTTTGTAAATACATTTTTAGAGTGCTACCAATGGGTAGTTTCTCAACATGTGATTTCATGCTATTTTATTCCTTTGTTCACATTTACTGAATGTATTTTTACTTGTAATACAGTTGTAAATATCACCAATAAAAAAAAAAAAATAAAAAAAAAAAAAAAATAATAATATATCGTACTGACCATCCTGACGGTATAGCACACCAGAACTGCCATCGTACAGCAATCCCTCTCTCATGAATTACTCCCATTTCCTACTCAAGATTTCCTACAATCAACCGCTATCGTAATCAAAACTGTCTCCTTTCAACTCACCCTTGTATCAGCATATTGCCCTTCTAACAGAACCATACGTAGCCCAGTTCAGTTCTCTCCTCAACTCCTTAGCTCATCATTTCATCCTGGGTGCAGACTTAAACGCCAAACACCATCAATGGGGTTCTAGAACCACGAATTCTCGTGGCAGAACATTGCTATCTGCACTCCATTTCTTACGTTTCAGCCTTTTTCCACCCAACTCACCTACCTACTGGCCCACTGATCCTATCCGCAATACTGACGTCTTTTATTAATTCATCCACAGTGGTTTAGGTCCCTCAATCATTCCCTTACCCGTTTTGACGAACTTTTCACAGATCTTAGTACATTAATACTTCAATTATCAACTGCTCCTATTCCTAAATTCCCTCCACCGTCCTTCATCAGAGGCCTAGTTAAGTAGAAACTCTTTCATCAAATCGTTTCCGATAAAACTGTCCTGAAATCCCCAGATGACCTTGATAATGCCGTACATTATTTTACCACCACTATTCAACAAGCAATCTGGACTGCTTCCCCCCCAAAACTCTCCTAAAAAATTCTTGAATTAGAAAATTCTTCGGCCTAATAGACCTAATTCACATCAAACGCAGTGCCAGAATATTATGGCAACGCTCAAGACACCCCACCGATCGCCGCTCCTATAATTATTACAATAAACGATTAAAGCAGGAATTGGCCAAATTCACATCCCAATCATTCAACTTCTACCTTCCTTCCCTCCCTGTTCATGACAATTCCTTATGGAAGATCACCAACAAAATCATAAAATTTCATCATATTATCCATCTTTTCCGTCGATGCGATGGCTCCTGGGCAGCGTCTGATGTAGATAAAGCTGAGGGATTCGCCAGACTTCTCCAGAACATTCACTTCTCATCCGGAATCCAACACCACCCATACCACGACAGTAGAAGAATTCCTAACATCGTCCATTCCACTTTCCTTGCCCCCTAAAGCAGTTAATCTTTCTGAGGTCAAACATCACTTATAAAAACTTCCTCTCTGTAAATCTCCTTACCTATCAGATCCTCAGCAACTCAGTGTGGTTCTCTAGCCTCTGAACAGTTAGTGTGTAGCAGTTATACAGCCTTAGTTTAATTAGTAAATTTAGTGGTTTTTACACGGAGATTTGTTGTATAAATTAACTTAATCAGACACATCTGTTAAATGCGCTGAATCCACGGGTGAGATTGAATCTTTATTTCAACTGGAACTTGGGCCGAAAAGAGCGAGAAAAGTTAGCCAGGATTTTAGTCGGCTTACAGGTAGTTGGTTAGGCATTTTAGTTGAGACTGTTAAAAGTAATTTTATTAATATCGATCATATGTTATATCGATTATATGAATTAAAAAAAGAAATATATAGAACACATGTTGTTAGATATAACCCTGTTCTTTCTATGAAGTTGTGTTGTTAGTTTAATAAAGATTAATTTGGCTTAGTTTAAAAAAAGGCTTGTGGTTTATTCAATGTTATACACTTAATAAGAAAACCAATAAACCAATAAAATCAACAGAGACGGGGAGTGGGGAGCGCATGCGTTAGATAAGGCCTAGTTCTAACCTCTATAAGTCAATAACTCCAGTGTTCAGGTTGAGGTTACGTCAATTTTTATCACAACAATCAACGTATTTTTTAAAATATTTTTTTATACATTTTTCTATATTTTCCATTTTATTTTTGCCAGACAAGATGGTTTCATGCCCTATTTGTGGACAGACAGTTGCCAGAGAAGACAAAAAACCATTGACATGCCCTATCACTACATGTCAAGCCATTTTTCATGGTAATGCCTTAACACGGACGAAGGTGAATTCGAAAAATTAAGGGCATCACGGAAGAATTGGGCATGCCCAAATTGTGTAAAAGCCCAAAAAAGTACACAATTGAGCGATAAGGGCTCTATCCCTGCAAGATCAGCTTCTCAGCAACCAACTGCCTCCGACGCCGCGTCACAGCTGCTCATGACCGCCATCCGAGACCTAACGGCTGAGGTTAAGGGATTAAAATTCACCCTCGATGCTAATGCCAGTGAGGCAAAGGAATTAAAAACAACTCTGGAGAAGCAGACTAATATAACCTTTGAAAACGCAGACAAATTAAATGCAATAGAGACCCTTCTGGAGACCCAAAATTCGAGGTGGAAGGAGTAATGATGGGAAATGCGACAATCAGGTCCTGGTTATCGGAGCTTGAAACCAGACTCAACAGGGCCGAGCAAATGCACCTTTCCAGGTCGGTTGAAATAAGGGGAGTTCCGGTGAGGTCCGGGGAGACGCCTATGGGCCTGGTGACGTGCGGGGCCGGCCTGGGCCTGAATTTAAAGCCAGAAGATGTCGACTGCGTGAAGCGGATGAGATCGAGGCAGGATGATACACCCGGGCCGCTACTGGTGAGATTCGTCAGACAGACGCTCAGATACGAGTTCATCCAAAGGCGGAAGGTTATACGGGACTTCTCAACTCGACACCTGGGATGGCAGGAAAATGATGCTCACAAAGTATATGTAAGCGAGGCAATGTCCGTAATCAACCGACATCTATATTGGTTAGCCCGACAGAAGAGATCTGCGGGGAAGATCAGATACGTCTGGTTCAACGCGGGCAAAGTGAAATGTCGACGTAATGACGGCCAGCAGGTTGTCGTGATCAACTCGCCCTCGGACTTTGACATATTCGCATGACTTGCACTCACATGCTAAATTGCTCTGCTCACTTTATTTTTCATTTCTGTTTTTGCACATTTTGATTTTTATTTTTTTAAAGATTACAATTTAATTGTTTTTGATCTAATTTATTTTGATAATTATTTTATTTTCGTTTATAAGAACAGTCTATATTTCATTCTTTTAGACGTTTTAATATACTTAAATACGGTTTATTCCGATGTAGAGGTACATCTTCCGTTTACTGAATTGTATATCTCCAACTTTTCAACATTAATAATACCTGGAAAATTACTATTTCTTTATTTTCTGTTTTTATTTAGCATCATTTATTATTACACTCATGATTCTTCGCAATAGAGGTGTCATCAACAATTATGTACTCTGGGCTCATACTAGCTCCAACCACTATAAAAATATTCCTACCTCTAGCACTTCCAGTCTGTTTACCAAGCCACCCCTCTTCCCATGACTAATATCCTTTTAACCTGCCACGTCAACGCTCAGTCACTCCTAGCCCATTTTGATGAATTTTATGATTTTTTCCTCCACAACTTCTACCATTTAATTGCAGTTTCTGAAACCTGGTTAAAGCCCTATATTCCGTCTTCCCAAATTACTTTACCCAATTATACCCTCCTTCGTCATGACAGAGAGGATCGTACAAGTGGTGGAGTGGGCCTGTTTGTCCATGACAGCCTTAAATTCAAAATCCTACAGTGCTCTTCCCATACCGATTCTTCGCAATTGAAATATCTTTTTACTGAAATCCTCACCCCATCATCTCCCCTTCTCTTTGCAGTCATTTATCGTCCTCCAAGAATTCCGTTTGATGAATCATTTGAGACTTCCCTTTACAACTTGATGTCTTTCTACTCCAATATTATCCTCACCGGAGGTTTCAATACCAATTTAATGATACCATCTTTTGACCATTCCTACCTGACAGGCCTCTTCCAATCACTCAGCCTTTATATAGTACCCTACAACCTTACCCATCATACCCAGTTTCCAGAGACCTGGATTGATTTGTTTGTCTTGGATTCCCTGGATAAACTCTTGTGGACATCTCAGCACCCGGTTCCATTTCTGTCTTCCCATGATCTTATCCAGATTTCCTACAACATCCCGGTCCCATTTTTTTCTCCTCAAACCATATCCTTCCGAAACCTCAACTCCCTCACCTATGAAGCCCTGTCGCAGGATCTCGATGCTTCCCAGTGGGACCCCATTTGTTCCTTAAAATCCATTGACGCCATGGTAGAAATCCTTACCAACCATCTTCATACCATCATAGACTGACATGCTCCTCTCCTAACTAAAACCATCCGACATTCCCCTGCTCCTTGGCTGACATCCGCTTTGAGAAGAAGAGATGCGGCAAGACGGAGGTTTAAACGTACTTAACTCCTGGAAGAATATATCGCCTTCAAGCAACTACGAAACAGCCAAATCCCGTTACTTCCACCATTCTTTATCCAACTCCCCAAACTCCAAGGCCAAGTGGACTATCCTAAAAAAACTGACCAGTTGCAACACACCTCAAACCCAGCTCATCTTCTTTTCTGCTGATGACCTTAACGCTCACTTTGTCTCCTGTCCCTTCTCATCCTCATCTCACGCGGCTATGCCGACTCCTGTGTGTTTCCCTATAAATTTTAATCCTGATCAATTCTTTTTTTTTTTTTTTTGACAGAAGTCGAGAGTCAACCAGCAACCAGTGTACGTCATGTCCTAACGGTTTCTAACGGTTTTCAACGGTTTTTTAACGGTTTTTTGTTTGTTTGTTTACTCCTCGTTTTTATGTACTCCTGTGCTATGTGAAGTTATTAGAGAGTGATTCGAGTGAGAACAGTGATTCGTTAATACGAATTAAAACAATATTTCGCTTAGACGGTCGAATTAAGTTAGACAGTGTCCTTTTGTAACCGGTTACATTGCGTGTAACCGGTGACAGGTAACCAGTGTCACCGTTTCATATTTATTTCTGACCAGGACTATTCAGACGAAAATGCCACATTCGGACGACGCACAAAGAGCGCCTCTACCACCATATGAAGATTCCGATTTAGAAGGCGCCACTAGCGGAGAATGGAATGAAGTATTGCGTCGCTCTCAGAGGTCGAAGGAGAAGGCCAATAAGAAGCCGCCTGCAATTACAACCTCAAATCAGTATGCCGTCCTAGCCACCCAACCTGCACAAGAAAATATTGAAGATAATATAACCACCTCAAAGAAGCCAACAGTTCCGCCTGTAGTGATTACAAGAAAATACACTATCAAAGAACTGCAAACATTCATGGCCAAGGTAAAAATAAAAAACTACTTAATCCAGTTCACAAGAAAAGACACAAGAATATTATTGGAGTCTGCCTCTGATTTACCAACCCTAAGAAAACACTTAGACAACTGTGGCATAGGATTCCACACATACTCCGCAAATTCAGACCGTAAACCACCAAGCAAATTCATTATAAAACAGTTAGATACAACCATTCCACTGACGGATGTTAAGAAGGCGATGCAACACCTTAATATCATCGATTTAAGAAGATTGCAGCGTACAGCAGCTGACGGCACCAAAACCACCCTAACACCGATAGTAGTCACCGTGCCATCGTCAATATCATTAAAAGATATAGCAATGGTGAAGCATGTAAACAGGTGTATCTTCCACGTAGAGATATACAAGCAGAGGAAAGAAATAACACCACCTCAGTGCTTCCGGTGCCAAAGATTCGGACACACCAAAAATTATTGTGGACACAAACCAGTGTGTGTAAGATGTAGTGGGGAACATCTTATAGCTCAGTGCCCAAGAACTACAGAGCCCAAATGTATAAACTGCGAAGGAGCCCACGTAGCATCTTACAGAGGATGCCCAGTCAGACGAGAAATGGAGGAAAACATAACAAAGCGAAGACAGCTAAAAACAAAAACGGAAGAGAGTCCAAAGGCGACAACCATACCCGTCTTAACCAGACCTTGGCATTCAACCAATGATAAAATACTCCAGCACACCACCACTCACCGGCAAGCCCCATCACCACAAAACCACACCCAACCACCACCATCACCACTAGTTATCAACGAGACACCCAATGAACATACAAACAACACTACATCGATCACAATAGACCAATTAATGAGCGTTATTCACTCACTAGCAAACCAAGTTGCAGCTCTAGTTCAGATACTCACCATTCAAAATACAAAGCCATGAACAGTTTCTCAGTAATTAATTACAATTGCTGTGGCATCAGTACAAAAATTGAAGAAATAGAAGCACTATTGGCCTTAACTCAACCTACCGTGGCTGTCCTCACAGATACCAGGCTGCAGGGAAGACCGCCACATTTCACTGGCTATTCAACCACCACAGACAATACTCATGACCCGCATGGAGGGGTGATGATTGCGGTACGCCATGGTATCCAGTGGAAGAAAATGCCGGAGCCCATGACGACTTGCGACAGAAAAATTAGTCATCTTACGGTGCAAATTTTGATGAAGCAGCCCACTTACATCACAGGCTACTACAGAAGACCACGCGGGTCCACTGATGAAATGAAATTATTTCTCAATAAGTGTGCGGACAGAACAAACCACTGGCTAGTGGGCGATTTCAACGCCAGGCACACCCACTGGCATAACCCCAACACAAACGAAGCAGGGAAAATAATCACAAAAACGCCATTCACAGTTGTACACCCAGACTCCCACACTTTCCGCCATTTCGGAAGTGGTGCCACCTCCACACTAGATCTTCTCCTCACGCGGCAACCACACCGAATTTCGGAATGCTCTGCCCTGGACTTTCTCTCTTCGGACCATCGACCGGTACACTACACTGTCCAAGGAAGACCAGAAGAACCCATGAAGAAAAAGTTCAGATATCAGAATGCGGATTGGAAAAAATATAAAAATGAAATATACCACAGACTACCGAAGATGCCCTCCCTACACACTAAAGAGCAAGTAGACAGCTATATTGAAGACTTCACAGAAATCGTACTCGAGGCAGCAACACAGACTATCCCCACCTACTACCCCTCACCACCACACCTCCGACCGCCTCCGCCGCACATCCTCACACTAATTGAAAACCGGCACACACTGAAAAATAGATGGTACCGCACAAGAGACCCAGACATCAAAACAGCTCTCAACGCCCTCACCACCCAAATCAGAAACCTCTTACGGCAATGGAAGACAGCCATGTGGCACGACCAACTGCATGCAACCCACGGTGACGTTAACAAGTTTTGGAAACTCACCAAAAGTGCAACGACAAAATCATCGACCATCAGACTACATGACGGGGACAAAATTCTATCACCGGCACAACAAGCAGAACGACTAGCGGAATATTATAAACATGATATAATAGCCCGGACTCTTGTTGCCGAGACCCCACAAATGACAAAAGAACAAAACTACATGTTTACAAGCCCCAAACAGATAAAAACCATTCTGAGAAGAATAAAC